CAGAAGAATCAGCAGCAATACTCTCACAAGTGCTGGGAAAAGCCATGTCGCGCTCTACCTGGGCAAAGATTTAGCATCTTGAGAGCACTCAGAAATAAGCAGATATACCCTGAAGACACACAGGCTGGTGAGGAAAGGACTGAACAATAATTCTGAAGCCATAATGCAAAAGCAAGAATACTGAGATTTGGAGGAATTATAAGGAGCACTTACTTTCCAGTACGTACTGATTCAGCAGCTACCAAGGAGGGGAAGAATTAAATTTGGGAACAGATTTTGAGCAATCTTGACTATACTAACACAATGCCAACACTTGTGAGAAAGTTTTGCTTTCTCAGACCTTAACTTAGTCACGTACCTATATGCCACATTACTGAGCACAGTTAGAAACAACAAGTAAAGATAGGTTGCTTTGTATGTAGTTTCCTTGACAAATGTCTGTGTTGGCTACAGCTGCACGCATGCTAGAAACCTCCTTTAAAATCAAAGATAAGCTGCCAGGAAGCATCATGCACTAAGAAACATCTCAGCAGGCTCTGTGTTAATGCTGAAATGTGAGGAGCACTGTATAAGAATTTCCCTCTTATGAGGTTCTTACAAGAACTGACAAAGCATTATAAGCCAGTGTTATGCCAAGCAAATATTTGCGGGGGCTAAGATTTTCATGCTGAAGCTGAGGACAAAACGCTTTGCAGAAAGCTGTGGTGCCCTATCCAGCCTGCTTGTTCCCACTGCACAGGGAGGGCTTTGTATTATATCTGAAAGTTATTTATTTACCAGATTATTTGCCACTATGGAAAATAAGACAGAACATTCAGGCCAGTGTGCCCTGTAAACAAGAGCACGTTCCCTAAGGAGCTGAATAAGAACTGCGCTGAGGATGGGCATAGCCAGAGCAGGGTATGCCCCAGGGACCTCATGTCCCCAGGCGCCCATACATAGGCACCCCACGCATCCCCCATTGCCAGCTGCAGGCAGTGTTTCTCCTTTCTCCCTGATAGCACGGGGTATTTTTTGCTCTGCGACAGTCTCAGTAGCTCCTGTATTTTTGGAGGAGGTAAAGGCATTTTGTAGGTTATGTGGTGTGATGGGAATGCCACTGAGCAAGGGTGCCCACATTTTCAGGAGGTTTCCAGCAACTGAAAGCCTTTACCAGGGACAAAGTTCCACTCCTGCTGACCTCCTCCATCTCCTCGGTCCCATCTTTCTCAAGGGGTAGGTGATAACGGAGAGACGATAATCTTCCTGTGTTGGTGGGCACAGTGGGATGTGCTGGTTAGAGGCCAGCATGCAGCATCTCACCTCCCTGTCCGCAACGCCGGTGCAAAAGCTTTCCCCTAAGGCAGAGATTCAGGTCACCTGGACCAGGCTCCGATTTGCAATCTCCATCCCAAGCATGGATATCTAATAAATCTAGTTATTTCTTCTCTTTTTTGTGTTGCCTCTCAGAGGCAAAGGTTTCAGAGAGCATTCTGTGGCTGCAGTGGGGTCGGGTATACAAAGTATTAAGAATTTTATGCTCTCTCAGACTGAAAAGGATCACAATACATTGATATTCGATAAATCTTGTGCCTAGAACTTGTATTGCAGATGCAATAGTTGGTACAAATATAGCAGAGTATTTTAGATAGGATTTTTGCGTATAGTTTTGAAAAGTTACCTATAGCTGCCTGGTGTGTTCACACATGTAGCTCCATTCTGGCAGCCTAATGCTGTTTCAGCATAAATCTGGCATTCATTAACATCCACAGAACAGAGCAGGCCCTAAGATGAAATGGAAAACCAGTTTATTTTCCAAATAACTGAGAAAAAAAGCAAACCATGGAGCTAATCTTCAATATCATTTCCAAAGCATACAAACCATGGGCTGCTATCAGCAGTTTCCCTTATAAAACATTAAAACAAAAGTCTATTGTTCAGCTGTGTTTGCGACCCTAGCTATCAGTCAAACGAGGGATAAAATATTTCAGATGTTTGCAGAAAGCATATGGACATCATAGTACTACCAGCCCCTGTACTTTCCAGCTTTCTAGCAAATGGCTCAGAAAACTTTCTGGCAAACTGTTTTTTTAGAAGATGTCGTTTTATTAAAACTGAAAGCACAGCAATTTTGACCCAAATTTTACTGGGACAATTTTCAGGTTGAGAGCATTTGAGAGAAAGATAAAACTTTTCAATCTCCAAATGCGTGTTTGAGCATCACTAAAGCCTTTGCCATTAAAGTCTTTGAATTTCAAAAACTCAGAATGGGATTGATTACTTACACTCTCATCTGTTTTATCTCTTGAATAAATATCCTTCCCTTCCCCCAGTCTCTCTGTATCTTTGCATAAGATCAACAGCAAGATATGCAGTTCAGTTCACTGTGCTCAGCAAAAAGGAAAGGCAAATTCTCTGTTGTTGGAACTGCTACAGCATCACTGACTGCATGGAACATCACCCACATTTAACAGCGCAGGGCCTGGCCATTGGTTCGGGCTTGGGCTTTTTGATATATTAATATTTTTGAGAATGAAACATGCTACACTTAAACCAAACGATGAATCTGATACGGCTGGTTTGCTGTTCAATATATCTCACTTGGTCCTGAGCAATCTTAAAAAGATGTGCTTAAAACTGTGTGCTTTGCCACAATTGCACTAAGCCAGGGATTAAGCTTACAGTCAAAATACATATTGCATATGCAAGGAAGCTAAAGACTCACCTGCCAGTTGCTGGGACAGAGGCAAAAGAAACCATCCAGCAAGTTTACGCATGTCCCTGAGTTCTCACAGGGGTTGCTACTGCACGCTTTCCTTCGGATAGTCTGAAACCCAGACAAAGAGCAGGAAATGAGGTTCGTTCCTTGAGGTTATGTAGGGTTTCATTAGCATTGCTTTCCACGGCAAACCTTTTATTTTTTTCCTTCTTTCATTTTTCTTTTTTTGCTGTTGTTTTTTGCTTTTGTTTTCTTTTTTAGCCAGGTTGATTTGCAAACATTTTGACCTGCTTTGCTCATATCTGCACAAAATAACGACTAATATGATTTGCTTTACACAGGATGGCCAACTGCAAACAGTGCAAAGAGGAAAGCTCTGTAAAAAGTAACCATTAATAAAGACTATTCCTCAATGGCAGAGTGTTTGTGGTTCTAGATGCAGGATTATCTTGTCTTCTTGATTTTCTGTACTGGCAGCTGTAGCTGTGCCTTTGTCACAAGCTCAGTGGAGAAGCAGCTGACAGTTGAAAATGAGCTATTTCCAGTACAATAAAAAATTCCAATTTTAATTCTCAAGTCCTCGTCTTGACAGATCAGTGAAGGAAGAGTTTATTTTTCCTCAGTATCTGGCTGTTATTCTTGAGTCTACAACTGTTTTTCCTTTAAGGAATGCAGGCTCCTACACAGTTTATACTTTGTAGGAAGGCATTTCAGCTCCTCTATAAATCTTGGGTTTTTTTTTTTTTTTTTTGTTTTTACCTCTTGTTACAACAAAAGTTTTCCTGAATAATGCATGAGAGGAAAGAAATCATTTACCTAGTCAGTCATTGTAACTTTACTTCATTTACTTGGGCTTGGGTTTTTCTTTTTTGATCTTTAGTTTGTTTCCCAGTTACTCACCTGCTCTAAGCTTTGAAGTTTGATGTCAAGATTCACAATCTGCAACAGAAACGCAAATTATATTGTGCTTGGCATTAGAGCGACCGCAGAGATATGTGCTGGCCTGACTGGGTGCTGGGATGCTAGTTGCCAGTAGGCTAACAAAGTATTTTCTTTTGAGAAAATACAGTAGCTGGTGTGTCAAACCAGGTGCCAACTGGGTTCAAATCAGTCCCCATTCAGTGAGATGTCAGTATGCTAGGCTCTTTGGGAAATCACAGCTTAAGTATGTCCAACTTTGGCTACAAAACCAAAGACTCAGTCTTGTGAAGATGTATTCAGGTGCTTAACTTTAAGAATGTGAATATTCCAACAGGATTGCTCAGGTGCTCTTGGGCGTACAAAGCCTGCTGTTTGAGACAAGTACACGGAAAGCCAAAAAAAATGTTCACTATATCTCAGTGGGTTGTAACTACAAATAGCAAGCTGAAACTGATTCAGTGAAAATGATGGATTAGGACAATTTCCCTAAAGAGAGGGCTGTTAGGCCATAATGAAATTGTGGCAACACCGTAACAGAAGGCACTGGCAACCAAGTCAGACAAAGGGTTTCAGTGTCTTCTATTGGAAAAAATATCGTCAGTAGCAGGGAACAGACTGAACTACCTCACAGGTCTTTTCTTTACATTGACAATTTCTATAGCCCATTTCACCCCTGGAAGGGAATATCCATGTAACGCATGTAAGAATATACATGGTCTATTTCCTGAATTTAGTGGGATTTCACTTCCATAAATATTTAAGGATACCATCTGTAGAGATGCTGACAGCAAACAATAGAACAGTCCTGGTATCTGCAAATTAAGGGAATTACAGGAATATTTCCATTGTCTCCAGAGATACCGAATTAGGCCATGCCCGTGAGCTGATAGAGACTGTGTTCCACTTCCCAACCTGGAGTCCAGAAACACTAAAATGAATCAGGTCAATATGTTAACCTGAGGAATGGAAAAATCAGACCTTTAATGGAGCATAAGACAAGACTCACCTTGGAATCCAGCAGAGCAACCTGACGTGACACATTCTGAGAGGCACCAATGCCTTTTTTAAGTTCTTGAATATCAACATTATTTTCTCTCACCTAAACTTAAAACAAGAGAGTGAGATGATGTGAAACACGCTTTGCCTTCTCAAAAGATCAGAAAAGTCTGATTCTTGCTGAACTTTACTATTATAAAGTCCACTTAAATACAGAGCTCTGTTCCATACACGCTTAATCTTTTAATTACTTTATGTAATATGATCGCTTTATGAGTCTTTAATAGCTTGCATTCATACTAGAGTTCTGACAAAGATAACATAAAGTCACAATCATAAAAGCTACATCAAAGTTACCAAGTTACTAAGACAATTTTTAAAGAAAATTAAACTGTTAATGTACAAGATTGAAAATGAAAACACAATAAAGAGAAGTAACTATATCACCTGACTAAAAAGCTCTGCAAGGTCTTCTTCATTAACTTTTATTTTCCCCAGTGGTCCAGTTCTGAATTCAATATTTTTGCTGGAGCCAGTATGGAACACTAAGTTACCCTGCTCTGAGGACAAACGAGGCCTGTTGTAGTGTGGAGGAAAAAAAGATCATTTAGCTGCACGTATCTGTCAAGGAGTATGGAAAAAAAATAGACATTTAAGCCATTCTGTTCCCATTAATAGCACTTAAAACCCACCATAGAGCAAATCTGTTTGCAGCTGATACTGGCAATGGTACTTACTGTTCATCATAAATGTCTCTTTTCTGCCTCTCTTTTTCATAGTGGTTTGATTCCCAGCTCAATCCAGAGAGTAATAATAATGTAATTAAAAGCCCAGGAACAGAAGCAGGCCAAAGCATTGCTCTCCACCACAGTCCCGAGCTCGAAGTGAAGCCTCCTGTGCTGAACTATACTTTTGAGAGCCCAGGTGCCCTTTGCTCTCACACAGCTCTGTATTCCCAAGGCGCCCATTCTGCTCTACTGCCTTGTATGGGTAAACTTTATCTCAGGTATCTTAAAGATTTACAGACTGCAAATAACCTAGACATTAAACACATTATTCACTTCCCCTCTCCGTTTTCAAGAGCTTTGAAAGATAATTGATCAAAATCTACGTGTATTTAGTCATTGTCTCTTTGGCCTTTGCACAGCAGAGCACCCCCTGCCTCAGAGCATCTTGTAATTTGCAGCAGGCGACTGTGGGGCGGCTCACAATCCCTGCGTCCCGCACTACACGAGTGAAGGAAATGGCTATTTGGCAGCAGTAAAAGACTTAGATTGTTACCAAAAAAGTTATATATAAAAACTGCAATGATTGGCAAGCAGTATTTGCACTGAAGGAGAAGCTTCCAGCCAGTAATTCATTGGACAGATGGCACAAACAAGTTAGCAATACCACACAACATCCCATGAATTGCAACAGCCAGATATAATTTTAACCAAATATGGTTGCTCTGACTTGAGAATGACTCAGTCCCCAGATGCTGAGGAGATGATCACACACCAAGGGGACTGCATATTGTCTGGCAGAGGTAGGCCGTTTCCATTGCACACACTAGGGCTCCTGAATTCAGGGCTAGCCACAGACAACGCAGAGGACCAAACAAGAATTAGCATAAGGCTCCAAGTTAATTGAAAAATGCAAATTCATATGTTCTGAGAGCCAACATTTGGATCTTGATCCCATTTTCCTCTACCCTTCAGCAGCACCCCTCCACCTTCTCCAAGGAAGAGTCCATACCAGGACACTTCCAATATCCTGTCACGGCCACTGCACTCTCATGCGCTGTCCCTGTGGTGCCATGGCTGGAAGAACACTTCCCAGGCAACCTCTGCACAAGACAAGGTAACAGGGCTCCAAACTTTTGGCATCCCCCAGAAACAGTTTACATGCATGTTGAAGAGAGGGGAGGCTGGCAGAAGCCCCAGGCATCAGGGTCAGTCAGCCCCTGAGGCTACTTGTGCCTAAGGCTCAGTCTGTTGCTGCAGGCAGCTGTGGCAGGGTCCATGTCCTACTCTTCTTCAGGACTTCACTCACCCGTCAGGCCTTGACCTTCTCTTTCTTCCACTGACTACAGTTCCCAGTTTTCCCACTGGACCACAGACTCCATGTTCACTTTCCTTGTGCCCACTACTATGTGTCAGGGTCTCTGCAGTCTCATCTTCCACCCAGAAAGTCAGCTTTACGTGACAATTCCTGCTACTCTTTTGTTTGGCTGCCAGAGTCCCCATATTCCTCTGACAAAAGGTCTTGCTGTGCTTTCCTTTCTTTCCTTATAGGTGCTTTGCGTGTCTTTTTTTCTGCCTTCATGCTAGGAGCGACCTGAACGTCCAGTCCCAACACCACTCATTTCTTTCCTTTCTGTTTAATAGGTAACTCATTCAGGTTGCTCACATTTCAGAACTACCAAGAAGAGCATAGCAGAAACAGTTGTAGCTGCCATTGCTAGGAGGTAATGGTAGCCACCATTCACTGGTCCTGTAACCTGCACACTGCTGTAAGAGGTAGCTGAGCCTTCTGCACTTGCTATCCTTACCTGGTCTTCCTTCCTGCTCCAGTTTGCACTTGTGGTTTTCCACTTTTCACCTGACAGGGAAATTCTGCTCACAGATATCTGGGACAAGCCCTGAAGCTGGGGGGTTGAATGAATTCTACAGCTTTCACTGACAGAAATGCTATGAGGTCAAAGACCTCCTGCAACCTGAGAACTGACTGGATGTGCAGCAGCATCTCACTACCACCACTGTTTTCTCCTGTTTGCATGAGGAACAAGCTTTTACTACTTTATTATCTATGCTTTTAAATCCTATCTCATAATTCGGTACAGTGAGTCCGCTGACAGGGTTCCTTGTGCTCATGCAGATTGTGATGCAGATAACCCAATAGCTGCTGCCTAGAGATCTGGAAGGGGATGAAGTTTCACCTGAAGCCACAGGGCACAGTCCTTCCCATATGCCTCCATCCACTGGTGCTGTAGCAGCAGCTCAGGTGTCTGGCTGGCAGCAATATTCATCCCCTCTGCAGTAGCCTGTGGCCACCAGGTATTGCTGCCAGACTGGAGGGGAGCATGAGCAGGAAACCCCATGTGCTGTCCTTCATGATCGTAGGGGATGGTGTTTACAACAAAATTAGAGTTGCCTACTCAATTGATGAAAACTTTCATTCCATTCAATCCAAATGAGCTATGATATTTCACACCAACTGAGGATCTTTCCCTGCACGTTTTTTATCTCATATTCCCCAATTCGTTCTGAAACCTGTTCCAGAATAGGAGAGCATAGATAAATTACTGACGTCTCTGATCAATGGGACGCCGTCTGCATCTGCATATACTTGTACTTTCCATGCCCATTAACATTCTTCATGTCTGTATTGATATTTATCTGGGTTTGTTTTGCTTTTTTTCAGTCTATTCAGTTTTTTAACTGGGTTGCTGTCAACTTGAAGAAGCTACGGGCTAACTATACCTACAGTTCCTAGCAGACTGGTTGAATGTACGCATACTTCAAGGACTGACTTTCACAAAGTCCCTCACATGTTGACAGTTTTCAGCCTGGACTTTGGTTGTTAACTCGAAAAAAAATCCTTCCTTTTCTGTATTCAATTCTTCTGCCTCCTGAGTATGCATTGACCCTCTCTGCTGCCTGTATGTCTTTGAATGAAGAAGCTCTTCTTTCTAACTAACTCCAGCAATAGAGATAGGGGAGAATGCTGCTAAACCAAGGAGGAAGAAGAAAGAACTCTTCTCACCTTCTCTCCATGCAGGTTTTATAGCTTAGAAAACAATTGACCTGAAGGCCAGGTGAATCTGACTTTGCACTGGTTTTAAGATGGAAAGAGAGCTTTGAGCATCTATCTAAACTTTGTATGGAACAGTATTTTCTATTTTATTAGACCTTTGAGATTTTACTTAACTTACTGCTCTATTCCAAGTGAATGCACTTCAGGATGGCCAAGCTGTGAAATCTATAAACCATTTTAAGGAGAAAAGTAGGAGCACACCTTTTAATTTTACTGAAATACATTGGATTAAGACGTCATTTTTGGAGGAACAGAATGGAAACCCTGTAAATATCTGGCATAAGAATAGGGGTTGTTCATTCTAACAAGGAGAGCTGGCATGAATACTTTCTCCCAAGACAGATCATTCCATTACCTCACCAACATTATACATATAGAGATGAGGAAACATCTCTGAAGAGAATAGGTTGTTCACAGATTTGGCAGGAAGTAACAGAGCATTTGTCTCTAATGCCAGTTGAAGTTCATCCTGTACTAGAAGTGACTGCAATTTACCACCATCTTATGATTCTGTATGGGGCCAAATGAAATGAAATGGCAGTCTCTACCTCTCTAGCAATATGTGCCCACAATGCAAGACATCGCTGCAGTAGACCTACAGCTGAACTCAGATTATGGCTAGAATTCAATATGCATTGATTGCACCTAGAAAGTCAACTCGGACACAGATAACAAAACACGAGTCTATGAGAGTGCCTCCTTTTTTAATGGGGGAAGTGCAACCGTTGGTGTGGATTCGAAACCTAATTTTTAAGGGTAAACACTAACATGCAACTCTTTACTTTGTTTTATATATGTAAAAAAAGATCTCTGCATATTCAATATTATGACTCAAATACGTGCAAATAATTAAAGAACCCGTCACGCTGCTGGCTTACTCTCAAGTAGTGCATATTTACCTGAATTTCCCCTTGGTTGAGGTCACGTCTCCCAGTATTTCCATCTTCATTTCTCTGGATTCTCTTTCATCTTTCTTCTTTTGAATAATACTCCAATGTTCAAATGTGACACACCACAGTCATATAAAGAAGTACTGCTACCTACATGGTCAAAAAGCTCAAATTGCTGGTGTAAACAATGCTTAGCACTGAATTCTTTGCTTTCAGTGTGTTCTCTGCAGGTCTGAGAGGACTGAGCACTAAACCGAAACTAGGCCCTATATGGAGGATTACACGACACAATTTACTTCAGCTGAAATGGGGGTGTTTCTTTGAAAAACATAATATTGGAATGGTTAGTTCTTTAACGATCTCTTTTATTCCTCAGCATTCTGCCTTCTTGCACCTGCTTAATATTTTGCTCCTTCAAAACAGATAAGTGATGAAGTTAATAAATTATCTGATGATGAGGTTAAACTGGCCTGAAAATCCAGGTTTTCCTTTTTTAGTTATAAAGAGATGGGTTTGGGTTTAGTTAGTTGGAATTTATCTATCATCCTAGCTCACCCTTGATTTCTTTACCACAGTGGAGGCATTTATAATATATACTGTTTTTGTTGCTCCGTCTTTCTGCTTTTACTTCCTGTGTGTGCTGATTTTACAAACCATCAGCTTAATGCCTCCTATTTTCCATTCTCCGTTTCAGTCTTTTTTGAAATTAGGTTCATGATAAAGTTTCCAGCCAGTAACATTGGCTTTACTCTTTCCTATTGATTATTCCAGTCCTTTTAGCACATTCAAATTGCTTTAATGTTTGTTGGAGTTATTTTTAGAGACTGCTATTTGCATAGTCGCCCTTCTCCACTAATAACCCTAAAGCTATGAATGGACCCAGCTGCACAACCTCTCAAATTTGTTCTGTTCACTTTTTTGGAAGGCTTAGATCTGGGCTGTACACTGCAAGTACATGAATCACTTGCTATGTACTGATATTGGGATCACAAATATTGGCATTCTGCCACAATACAAATATAAGAAAGTAAGAGTAGTCATACTGGGTTAGAAAAAGATCTGTCTAGGTCAGTACCCTGTCTGCAACAGTAGCCAAGGCAGATGATCAGGGAAGGAAGGGTACACAAAAGGGTAAGCACATACAGTACCTCTCCTATGTATTCTCTTTACCTTCATCTATCTGCAGCTTGAGGACTTCTTCAGCCAGAATTCTACCTATTCGGTACTCTTCAAAGGATTTTTCTTCCATGAACTTATCCAGTCTTCTCGTGAACTCTTCCCCATGCTTCACTTTACAACGCATACATAATGAATAATGCCAGATATTGCATAAGATGGACAAACAGCGGAAATGTAATGCAGAAATATTAATTCTAGGTAGAATCCCATTTTCACCCAGTGCAACATTTATAAACAAAATGGGATTAAGTAGTTTTTTAAAATATATACAGGGCAAACATAAGAACTAATCAAAACTATTTATTACTCTTCAGGTGTAAGAACATACGTTTGAACCAACAATGTGTTTTGCTTCCAAATGCCATGTTGTACCTTAATTTAGAAGTGTGGTAGAGTTACATCAGCCCAGTGCACGGACCAAAGCACAAAACAAATACGCTCTCCACCAAGATGGGATTTCAGGGTGTATTCCTGTGTTTGGAGAGAGCAGCTCCCAACTGGAGAAGTTTTTAAGGACTTCCTTGTGGCAGTTTTCTGAGTTTTAGTAACAACCCTCTGTAAAGGGTGTCCAGCTAGAGCAGCCGCTCAGAGAATCCCTCAAGTTCCTTCCAGTAGCCCTGTTTCACTAGAAGTGGTATATTCCAGTATATTTTAGCCCATCCAACTCTGCTTCTTGCTTCATCAGAGCTCTATGAAAAGATCCTTTGTCCATGCATGGGGAAACATGTTTCCTCCCACTGTCAAAAAGATCAGGAAAGTCAAAGAGAACACTCCAGTTGTCCTGTGCTTCTACATGGCTGTCTGGTGATCTAATGGAATATATTTCTTTTTCCCAACCCCAGTAATCAAATAAACATAAAAATACGACAAATCTCTTCACGGTCTTCACAATAACCTTTAAATTGACATGTTATCACTACTCATTGTTTAGTCTTCCATGCTCTCTTGGGTATCAGTTACTTACTCAAGTAAGCTGTTACTCAGTGAGCATATGCTTCCAAGTTTATAACACCAGAACACCCATGTGTTGCACAGGCAAAAATGAGGACACTCACTGGAATTCACTTTTGGCTATATGGCTAGATTCTTATACTCTGGTATTATTTTTCCTAGGCTATTTCTTTGACCACTTCTATATATTAGAATATATAGATATAGATATATAGTTATTATATATATTGATATATATTTATTATATATATTGATATATATATAATTATATATATTGATATAGTGTATTCTTTAAATGTCACACAGGGGAAAAAAAACAGAGCACGTAAGTGGTTTCAAGTATCTAAGAGTAATCTAAGATACTAAGATACTAACTAAGAGTATCTTAGTAATACTAAGTTTCTAATAGATTTTCACTTTACGAAAATTTACAAAAGGAAAGAAATACAATTCAGTATTTATACAGAAAGTCAATGGAGCATTAAATTTCTGTGTGAAAAGCAAGCAAATAGAAGAGAGAAAACAGCGTGAGCTAAGAATTAATAGTTTATCCCTGAGATGTAACAAATACTTGCTGAATTTTCTATTTGTTTTAGAAATTTGCTACAATTGCTACCACAGAATAGTCATCAAAATATTGGACCTGTTTAGATTTCAGTTCGGCCATTACTATTGAGATCTCTCTTCAGAGAACAGAATGGACATATCCATGACTAAATTTTAGACATACGATAGAATAACTAGAGAGTAATGTTTTTTTCAGCTTGCACTACAGAGATTCCTGGCAATCCTTATACTTCTTCTAAGGAGCTGAGCAAAAGGTGAGACAAAAAAGCCTGCTAGCAGGAGCCTTATGTTCACTATCTGGAAGGATGTACCTCCACTGGAAAATATTAAGTTCATCTACCAAAAAAGATTCAGAACCACTGCTTCAAACAAAAGATATTTTAATAACTTCACTGTTACACAGGTTTCTTCATGAGTACAGGGAAATCCTGGATTAACTCAGATAAAAACAAGCTTACATAGGTAAAACATTCTCAAAGGCAATTGCCATGCTCTACAAGCAACTGCATAAATATGACACCCCTAAATATGACATCTTCTTCCTCACTGGAGATTCTTAAGCTTGAGGGAATTTGGTCATATCATCTCACTCAGACAAGAAGATATATTTCACATGTGCAGAATAACTAAGCTGTGAAAGCAAAAATCAGATTCTAGCTATCTCCTCCCAATTCCAGAGCTGTCCTCCAGATTTCACTCATTTACCTTTCAGCTGCTCTTGCAATCACTTTTCCTATTTCATTGCTGTTAAAAGGTTTAAGTTGAAGTTGCAAAGTTCTGCACAGATGTAGGCTGCAAAGCACTTACTATTAGGAGACTGCTTGAAAAAAGAGAAGCAACATGATCATCAAGCGAGGCCAAGCAGGTGCAACTCAACAAAGCTCGGTAAACAAGTCTATTAATGACAAATAGATGGGATAGGAAGCAGTTCACTCAATTTAGCTGCGCTCGTTTTCCAGGGCTCAGAGGGGTAAAATACACAGAGACATATTTACAACTTTGAAATCTGTTCAAAATATTATCTGCTTTGGAAACAGATCTGATAAGTAAACAAATTTCAGTCTTCACATTCATATGAAATGAAAAAATCACTGCCAACATGTAACAGACTATTGCTATATTATAGTTTTACATGCACCTACGTAACTTTCAAATTACACTTTAATACAGCTCGCTTACAAAAGGCATATAAATTAAAATAAGCCACTAAAATATCATTTAAACACTAAAGAATTGAAAATGAAATGTTAATAGTTACTATTATTACAGTGAGGCAAAATGAAAAGGCTATTTAAATGCTTTAGCAGAAAAAAATCCCATTTTGTACATAAAATTATGATTTCCTTTGTTTTCATTTGACTGTTTAGATCACTTCAGAGAGGAAAAGATCCTCTCGTTATCACGTATCTCCAAGAACAAGACCATGTAGTAACTGGTTATTAATCTGCTGATAAATTTAAATAATAACTACCACGTAAACAAACTATAGTTCACAACACAGTCCAAAACACACTTGCTCTTTGCAAAGGTTAGCAGTAGATATAACCTAAAATTATTACTCCTTTTTGCCATTATACTGCTACAAGAAATCATGTAAAGAGGGGGTCCAGAACTCATCTTTCTCTAAGATAAAAGAGCCCAGTCCAGAGCTCTTTCAGGAGAATTTATTTCCATTTCTCTTCTATAGCTGGAACACTCCAAGTGGTCAAAATGCTCTTGGAGAACAAGACAGGCTGCAGTAGCTCAGCCCAAGCTTTCCTGATTTAATAGTCCAGAAGCAGCAGCATGCACATTAAGACAGAAGAAGAAATAAACAAGGAGTCAGCATAAGCTAAAGTACAGTATAAGGTGATACCTACCACACTCATTTTCTCTTTCAGGAGGACTACAGCAGAACAGAACGCCTGCAGTATCTCTACAGCACCTCTGTTCTCTAGTCTTTAGTATCTACTGCATTATCAAGCCTGGATGCAATATATCGTAACTGTGAATAGGTCTTTCCCACAGAAAAAAATCAGTCTTTTTCCAGGCTGGTGGCTTTGACAACTTGCTGTTTTGGTGCAGAGGAACTATGATCAATCTAAGAAATCCTTCAGTCATGTAACATATCAGTCCCCTATTGGTTGTTTACTAGCTACCATCTCACCTTTTCCTCTCTCAACCTGGTTTTTCTCTAGATACCATTATGGCATTATCTGTACCAAAAGTAACAAACTAAACACATACTTCTTCAGAAGGCACTCAAGTTTTTCCATAATTTTCTCTACTGCTACAGGATGCTGAACTTACAAGACCTGATGATACACAAATCTGTTAGCCCAGCTCTATGAGATGGTGTACACCTGTGGCATTCTGGGTGGCCACAGACAGTGGCCTCACCCCAACATTCACTCCTTACCCTAGCCGTAGTGTCAAATTCTGTGAAGTCTTGGAAGATAACCGTGTACTTTTTCTCCAGTTCTCATGCCACAGAAACCCTTCCTTGCCTAGACAGGGAGCTTTTAAATCTTTTTATGTCTTGTATGTGTAGGTCTTTGGTAAAGACCAATGATCTCATCCTGCATGATTTAAGTGAAAATAGAAACAGCAAAGTTATTGTCAAGACTTGTGATAACCTTGAAATATTTTTATTCAGTTGCCCCGAAACAAATTTCTCCAGACAGATACAACTGGGTTTCAGAAACCTACAACTATCTAGAGAGGATCAGGCAAACATAAACTAAGGATGATATTGTGTTTCCTTAAAATACACATACAATACCTATACAAAATACTGAATTTAATAGTTTCATTAGCTACAAAAACGCATCAAAATCTCAGATTACATATACAGTAAATCTTTTAAGAATAGATCACTTGCATTTACAGATGAAGATATTTTACATGTAGAACTTGGTCTCTGCACTTAATTAGAACAGCTTTGACGTTTGTAGCCTTTTTATACTGCGTTGAGAAGACAGTTTTAAGATAAAAATACAAAAGTTTTACCCATTTTCATTGAGGAATGTGTAAATGCTCCTATTTTTCCTTCTGCAAACTAGAAAGAACATCTAAAGCCATTAATTCCTGGCAAGATCCATTTAAATAAAACATCTGTACAATGCAAATCCACCATAAATACAATACAATATTAAAAATACATGAGAACTGTTCAGTAAAATACCTGGACAGACATTTTTGTTAGCTGTGATTTTTGTTAAGCCACTATCAACTTTCTCTTAAGAGACAAAAGTATTTTCTGTCATCAGTCCATATTTATCAGATTCAGGTTCCAAACGATCCAAGTAGAAAGGAGATCAATTTTGCCACCACGTGTACATTGAGGCTGTTTCCCAAAAGACGGTAGCGTTGCTTTATTGTTACTTTGTGAGGGAAGCCTAAAACAAAAACAGATAGTTCAGTGTCATTAGTCTGGGTTTGTTTCTAGGTTTTGGTCCACTGCTATTTTTCATGAACAATTCTTAATACAGTTATCATAGACTGCAGCTTATGTATGGGAATCCCACACACAAAAATAACTCCCAACCAGGTCACTGGATTTAGACTGGTTCTTCCATTAGCAGTACAGTCATTTCTAAGCTTTAACAAGTAGCTTCAAAACATTGCCTTCTTCTGTAACTAATGCTAATCTACCTTCTCTTCATACAGCTCAAAAACGCCAACGTTCTTGGTGAAGGACAACCATCTCAGGGAGGGGCAGCAGTACCTAACACATTGCACAACTGCTACTCTACAGACTATCAGCAGAACATCCAAAGAGGAATGTGGCCATGGCAGAAAGAAAATACACAGGTTTTGCAGACGTACTAAACTGCTTCTCTCGACAACTTTTACATTTTACTTCTAATCTGAGCTCCTCTCACCAGTTAAGGCAAATCAAACCAGTCTGACTGCACAACATACCACCAGTACAAACCAGGCTGTGAGCAAGGCTTACTGCAGTGAGTGATCAAGCAGCTGCATAATTTTCCATGTAATTCAACACTGGCCCTGTGGAATGCACTCAGAAATATAGATAGCATCAAAAATATCCTTCACATTAGAAGAGCAAAGACTGGCAGAAAGAAACGAGGCTCAGAAAAAATTAAACTGGTTCGGGCATTGTAAAAGGTCTGCACTGTGTACTGAGCACACAATCAGAGGTGAGAGAGGTGCTGAGAATTAAGTTACCAAGAACCAGCTAATCAACTATAATTGTCCTGGCTCACACTCTTAGCTCACTCTAGCTGTGAGCTAAAGTGCATTTGCTTTAACTTGAGTGAAAGATGAACAGCAGCAGCGATTCAACCGTGCATGTCATTTGCTAAGCTGCTGAAACTCGATCACATTCAATTATTTGATCATACCCTAAGAAGAAGCACCTAACTTTGACCCTGAGGTCATCAGCACCCAGATTAGCTTTGATGCATGCACATGATGTGTGCAGAAGTGGCATACACGTTCTGAAGTTTTCACAGCGCATCAGTGAAACCGTCTTCCAGAGGGGGCTCAGGAGAGAACGTGGCTGGACAGCAGCTGAGCCAAGGGTGGGAAGCTGAGGAGGTGGTGTCTGGGAGGAGGTGCTGCATCCTTCTCTGCCAGTTATTAATGCCTTGAACGTGGACTAATTTGGTAAACACATCTTCTGCCAGTTCTAAGCACTCTGGCTCAGCTTTCTGGCACTCAAAATTTGGGCACCCATTCCCTCTTTGGAACAATCACTTAAATTCCCACACAAACTTCCACAGATGGAGTTTTCACTGAAGCCACTGGATAAGGCACAGAATTTACACATTTTAAAAGAATATATAAAAATGAATGTGCATTTGTATATAAATACATATACACTTACAGCCCAATAAGCTTATCTAAAAAGTGAAAATTCCAGAGATGCTCCTACCGCCTCTTGGCAGCCCTAAGCCTGGGCGTATTTTCAGGACTCTCTGCCTCCTTTATGCCAAGCCCCCTCCATCTACCTGTTAACATTATCTTGCATCTCCTCTCTTCTTGGCTCAAGAACAGGCTACATCAGAAGGACAGATTTAACAGCTCAAAGTATGCAGGTACTTGCTGCACAGTTCTGAACTCTCTCCATATCTTTTAGGTCATACATGCTACTTGATGATGTTGCAGTCTTGGCAACACTCACTATCAAAGAGTGCTGGCTTTCTATTAGGCTGCCATTTGTTTCTCAATAACATACATACATTGCTAATAGGAAAAATGGAAAAGCAACAGCATCCTGATGTCACCCTCATGAAAACAAGTCACAGCTGCAAGAATCATAACAATATTGCTATGGGACCCATGATAATGACTAAGGCAAATGACTGCAGTATTTCACTGACCTATAGTGCAATTACTATTTCTACATTCAGACATTAAAAGCACAAATAAATCTGTTAATGTTAGGAAAGAAGAATGACTGTAACTCTGGATCTTTTGTGTAAGAAGGGGTTACAATATATATCCATATATACTTTGATTAATGGTAATTGTAGCTAAGAACAGCATCTGCTACCAAAGCTTCCTGACATTCTCTTCACTAAGCCTTATTTTCAGCTTAGAGTTTTCTCATTCTTTAGTGTTCTGGGCCAGCATATCGGTAGTGGGTACATCTTAAGGATTTTTGTTAAAAATTTCAGCCCAAATGGTGCTGTCACTACTGAACACAAGAGAAAAGAAATTATAGCACGTTCTCCTTTGAAAACTCCACACTTCACAACAATGACTTGAAATTTAACATGGGAGAAATGCTGTCAGGAATATGTGCTTTGCTGTAGCTGAAATATAGCAAATTATAAGCCTTTGGAAAAAAATATACCTTGCAAATACTCAGAAAAAGCTTAGATTATAGTAGCTAAGTTCCCCAGAGATTCTAATCAGCCTAGAGGTGAGTAACACTCTTTGCAATTACATATTGGGAAACTTCTCGATTCAAACACAGAGGAAAGAAATGTCAGACTTGTGACTCAGTGTACTGGGAAAGACGTATTCTGCATATGAATCAGGAGTATACAACAGAAGAAGCTTCTTGATGAGAAAGGCTTGTTTCATTTGCTGTGGAAGTTGGACGTGTAGTAACAGCAAAGCAGGGAAGTGCAAGAACTGTGAAGAAGGTCTCATGATTAAGGCAGAAGGGTACTGCCCTTTCAGAGCTGGAATCTGTCCCTGACACTACTGCACGCTTCCTAGGTGATAAAAGACAACTTTGTTAAATGAGTGCTTCATAGATGGTGACTATCTGGAAGCTCCTCAGACTTAGAAGCTTGACTTGTTGTGAGAGTTCAGTTCTTTTTCATGTACGTATTGAAGCTCACAGCTGCCCCAGAAGATGAGCTCTGAACAGAGGAAGCACTGTATCGTTCCAAGCACTCTGAAATAGTAATAGCCAGACTTTACAAGCTGGTCACCCTAAATTAATGGTGTCTTCCAAACATAACTATCTCCTTGCCTCAGTTCTCTCTCTGTAAAATATTACAGAGGCAGATGCAGCATTAACCCTACCACACCCCTCATTGGTATTGTAAAGACAGATTTAATGTTTGGGAAACACCAGCTATTATAATAAACATCATACTTAAAAAAGAGAAATGGACAATTCTGTGTTCAAAAGGCAGCTTGACAGCATGATAAACTTCTTTTAATATCAGAGAGGATGCATGCTGAACGATGGGAAAAATCACACACTAAACAGAAATTCAATATGCAGCCCTGTTTAGCTTGTTAGGCTTCTTTACATTAGCCTAAGTTAATATGGAAGAGAGCTGTAATAAGACAGAGGCTGTCCGCGGAAAAGAGTCTATTAAAGAAGGCAGGCTATGAAAAATATCTGCATATGGGCATATAACACAACACAGCACACTCTGCAAATACTGTTCTACAAGCAAGCTTAGGCCCGACTACTCTAAATGTTTGACTTAGCAACCCTGATACTGTTCTTTAAATGTAATAATTTTGAATGTAACTGTAAACAGTAAAAAATAAAAAATAAAACTGCAACAGAAAAATTATACAAACTATTAGCCCTCTTTAAAACTCACAAAGTCACAAAAGGAATTCAAAGGAAAATGTAACGAATTTCTCAAGGTCAGTGACATCTGATTCTATGGAGGCTGGTATTGCTGAGAGACAATCAATTGAGCTGATAAGATGGCAGCAGGCCAAGCTGCTTAGCAGGTAGTAACATCTATGCTTTCTTGCCTTTTTTTATTTATAGAAGGGCAAGAGGAACTCTGGTGAACTTGTTGCAGGCTTAATTCTGGTTGACCTGTATGCAGCGTAATGGCATTGTGCCGTCTTGCTCCTTGACACCCTCTTCTCCACAAAAATAGTTAGAAAATGAAGTACCTCACCTTATTAGACCAACGGCTAGTATTGCTTTTTCTAGAAAATAGAGAGGCCTTAACAGATCATTAACTGAAGAATCTGGCTACTCCTGCACAAAGAAGCATCTGTATCCTGTGAAATTCCCTCCCTGTCAGCAGCTGCAAATATGTAGAAGAGAAAAAGCAAGCAGTTCAGACACTGAGAAACAATAACAGACCTCCTAAACTGGCAAGATACGTTGACTTATTACTATTGTTGGTAATCCTGGCTGCTGCGTAAAAAGTTTCAACTTTACACCAAAGGTCTTCCTTCATTGCCATTCAGTAATATAGCATTTCTCATTCCAACCTTTTTTTCCTAATTTATGAAAATAAACATAACCATAGAGATTAGTTTTTATAAATTATGAAAAACTAATGGAAATTCAGAGAAATGTTAGCCAAGTAACAAGAACTGATCATTAAAATAAAGCAGTATGAAAAAAACCTGCAGAACAAAAAGCATGGACTATCCCCATCAAAAAGGTAACTTGGCATTCAGTAAAAATGAAGTAGAAATGGGCACTTTGCAAGCACATACCAAATTCTGGAGGGAATCCATGGAGATTTGCTATTTCTCTTGGGGTAAAGTACCTCAGTTTTAATGTCGACAGCTTCATAAGCTTCTCTTCTTCTGGTTTCTTCTCAATGCATTTAAACACTGAGTCAAGCTATTAAGCATATCCAAAAAAAAAAACCAGATATCACTGATAGAGGTAGAACATGTAAAATTATGCTGTAACATTTGCATCATAACAGATTATCTCTTTATGACAGTGCCAAAGACAATAGCATGTTTTGTTTGAAATTATGATTGCTGTTGCATTTCTATAGTCAACACCTCAACATATTCATTTACAAGAAAGAAACCAATGTTGCCATGTGGGAATCCATCATTTCTTCCTTCAGTTACAAGCCGTACCAATACTCAATGAGGCAACTAAAGGACTATAAACATTTGTTAATGACAGAATAAGAAAAATGACTCAATAGCCTGACCATCTACAAAAACTAAGCTGTATGGATGCAGCTGTTTTAATACATTTGCTTTGAGATTATTCTGAATGTCAATGCTGCATTCCTCATATGCTTACAAATGCCCACATAATACTAGTGAATGGCACAGAAGTGCAGGAGGACATGCTTGTGTACAGAATACGCTTTGTGAAAATTATCTTTGAATAATGATTCACTCATATATTTATTTATTTCTATCTTTTCTATTTCTATCTATCTATTTCTTCTTATATTTATTTATTTCTATGCCCAAAGACTTCACTTTGTGGTGAACTGAGTATCACAGTAGAACTTTTCAAAATACTACGTCTTCCTAGATAAACAATATGCTTTCTATTCAAACACTTCAAACATTTTACATGCTTGTTGGATCATCTGTGCACAAAAAATGACCCGAGATTCACAACATGGTAACCTAAGTTATCCATAGAATTAGTCCAGTTTAACATTTTCACATACCCCTGTGAAATCGCTGCGTGACATTATGGAAAATAAAATAATAGCAACTTGTATTCTCCCCAGAAAGAGGCACACATATCATCTTGATTTAAACAAACTGCTCTTTGGGAATTCAGCTGCCATAAAATGTAGCTTTAAAAGCATTTTTATTATAATAAATTCAGAATAGCAAAGCTGAAGACAGACAAAACAAGTTTTAAAACAAGTCACTCTCATATGCTAGTCTAGATGTTCTTACCTGTATATCTACTGCTGTCTGAAGAACTGAGCCTGTGCCTTCTACATAGTGTCCATACCTTAACAACAACAGTAAAAATCTTAAGTGAAAAATTTCATTGGACTTCAAAATCCTGACAACTCCAAGATGCAGGGAGCTTAATGAAGCTCATTTCCTGTGATTAACAAATAGTCTCCTGGATAGATAAAATAGAAGTCCTTGTTATTAACAATGCTAACCCTGAAAGTGCAGATCAGCCTTTGAACATACTCCCTGGGGATGAGTCTGCAATCAGCACACAAGGGTTTATCCCTGCTAATGCCTTATACAAGGCAACTGGACAAAGAATTCAAGAAAAGCATCATCAGAAAGGGCCATCTACATTACATTCACCGATTTTACACTGCTAAAGGTAAAAGGGTCCTCGGTGTTCAAACTGACTCGCCATACATGACCATTAGTGCGAGCCTACAAGTTTTATATCAATCCATTAGGAACAAAGCAATTCAGTCAGACTTAATTTTTGGTTGTTTGCATGTTTTCCAGAAAGGAAAGAGAAGGGAGATGGTCAGGCTTCTGTGCAGAGCAGCTAGCAAGGAAAAAAAAAAAAACAACTAAATAGTAAGTAAATTGACGTTATAAAACCATATGATAGCTTTTTTAGATCTTTGTGGTTGATTATATAACTACATGCTTACTCTACAGTCTCTCCAATGCTATCATTTAAACATAATTATGTATTTGCTGGGCTTTCAGAAACATGTTATGCTGATCTAAACTACAATCGTGTATGAACGTCCTGAACTGAAAGAGATCAAGACAGAGAAATAGATAGGTTTTGCACAGTGGAAGAAATTCAGAACATCTCCTGCATCAGATGGCAGTGGTTTGTACCTACCATTAACAGATACTACTCCCCAGTTTTCTCTTTGTATCTGTAGACAGCCGTCAAGGGTCTTTTACTTCATTTGGGGCTCACTCTACACCAACACACTTGGAACAATTTTTCTTTCAAGCTTTCCTAACCCCGCAATGAAGAAATGAACATTCTCCCTTTAGCACAGATGCAATGACCCGCTGGGCTCAAGCTTGAGAATTTCTTCTCCAGTTAGAAAAGTTTATGAGTAGTTCTTCCAATATCAGTGAGACCAACCCACATTTTTCAAATAAAGCATATGCAAATCTCATTTAGCATCAGGACAAAAGGGCCTAAACACTAATACGTATTAAAAAACACTAATACGTATTAAAAAACATTAAACTAAACTGTGTTGTAAATACATAATATTTAATTGGTTAGATGCATTCTGAAAATTACCTAATATCAGGTTTTAAAATGTAACACATGTGGCAGCGAGAAAGTTTGACATTCTTCTTACAGTATCTGATCTTATATTTCAGATGAATGTATTTGAGACAAAATAAATACATGAGGATAAATTTCAAACTGGTATTTTATTTCCTTTACTGAGGAAAAAAAAGGATCTTTTCCATGGGATATACGTTATATAAAATGTTCCACTCTAAATAACTGGCACTGGAGTATGGAACTGCCCACAAAAAAATTCCATTTGGTCTAGAAAGATAACGTAACACAGTTAAAAATGAAGATCACCATATTGACATTTTTATAACTAAATAGTGAGGGCGGGTGAGTTTTTTTTTCTTACACAAATGTCAGCAGACATCCAGTGTTAGCTGGATTTTTATTAATTACTATTGCAGCTGCTGACTACAGAAAAAATTAACATTCCTAGCAGATTCAGAACGTGATGAAATATGGGAAGCTTTGCCAAAGTAAGAAATGATTCATTGATTTTTGGATATTTCATTACCAGTTATAATGAACGAAGCAGCTGGCTTAAGAAATTGCAGTCTTAAATTTTTACCTGACTCAAAGTTTTTTTCCCCCCTCTTTACTTCCACAAGCATTTATAAAAATTCTTTCACAGACATAATTTATTATTTCTAGGTACGCTGTCTCCTGTATTACGACTCATAAAAAGATGATTTCCACAATGCTATCGTTTCTGTAACTAATTTTACACTATTTTAGAAGGTATTGCTCCTCTGGTCAACAGCACATCAAGAATTTACAAGCAGATCCAGCATAAACATATCACACCTTTTATTTGCTCTGTTCGTTAAAATGGCCAATTGCCTCTCCCACAAATTCTGCCACCACAAATGATGCTCCTAAGAAAAACTGCCATGTCTGTGCTCTCAAGGAACTCAGGAACTGTGTTCAAACTGTCTTGACATCTAAGATTGGAAGGGATCACAAGATCACCTGCTTGATTCGCCACATACCACAGGACTCTGCATTTTGCCCTGTGCCGCCCCAAAGCATTTCAATCCTCAGAAGATATACTGGTATGATATAGGCAGAAAGCAAAAGTGTCATATACTATAAGCGCTTGAGGTTCCTGAAATAGCAGTAGCAATGAACGCAACATACCCAGATCATCCTTAGCACACGAACCTTACTGGAACTCTCTGAAGACCACTCACAAGTGAGGAAAAAAAAATGTCCCCGTTCTCAGTGTTGGTGATAAGCATGACTCTCTTAAGTAAGACACCACGCAGGCATCTCAGCAAAGGGATTCTCTGTACTACTCAGAGTACTGCTCTGCTCCATCCAGGGTCCCATTTCCCAAATTTGCCTCAGAGAAAGCTAAAAACAACTCCTAGAATACATCCAGCAGCAACATATTCTTGGTCTGAGAAACTGACTCGGATGAAGCCTGAAATGCAATTATAATGCAGAGCTGTAAATGATATGACCACACTGAGGACCATTTTGGCAATCTTGCTTCCAGTCTTGCTCATAAAAAAAGGGAACAAAGACAGTAACTCAGCATCTTACATTCTGAGCCAAGAAGAACTGCCGCAAGTATCTGGCCTGATTCCTTCCAAATCAGCATAAGGGTAACACTAATGTTCAAGGCCAGGTTTCCCTCCACTTTACATAAAGACTTCATATTTCCAACTCAGGAGTCTCCTTCAGTTTGAATGTGATAAACATAACCATAAAATACCACGACGCATTCGAGTGGAACCACAACTGGACAATTTATTTTTGATTACACATATGACAAATGTATGAGATAAACAAGGGATCAGTCTGCCTACGGTTTTTATTTGACTGTTTTAGTTAAGAAATAGATCCCACAAGATGCTGACTCCCTCACAATTCAAAACAGCGAAGGCAGAAAAGGCTTATGTCAATCAGAGGTGGGGGAAGGGCTTTGCTGCTCCAAAAATTTTGAAATTTTGATTTTTTTTCCTCAGCCTTTATATCATCAAAAAGTTGAAATCACAAAATCTACAGTAATTCTGTCTATGCCATCAGCCATTTTAATTTCTAACAATAAAAGAAAACAACCTGCTTTAAGTCATCAACTAAAAAGCAATTTTTTGAAATTTCTTGAGATTTCCAAACAACTGTCTAATTTGAAAAATTCACTGATATTAACATGTCCCACAAACGTCCATGCTCCAACTGGCATTTTTCAATACAAATGCATTTAGCTGAAAAGCTCCTGACCCTTTATCAGCAGCATTTCAGGACATTCAACAATCTCAGGCAGTCAGCCTTAAATTTCCAGTGTACAAATCAGAAAACTATGGGACATAAAAGCACTGGATGTTTTGCTCAAACAAATATGATTTACAATGCAGACACCTAACTGGTTTTATGACAGATGCCCCATCCTACAAAGCCAAAAAATCCAGGAAATCAATAAAATGCACAGTGGAGACAGTTTTAATGAGGAATGGATCTGTCACACGTAACACTTTATAAGTTCAGTGAGCAATATAAAGAAATTCATTAATGAATCAGTACTATACCAATCTACTGGAACCATATTTCCGCAGGGGTAATTAAGCTTCTGTGAAGGTCAACAACAAATGGCACTGTCTTTTGTGAAAGCTTTTTTGGAGTGGGCATATGATGTTCTGCCAGAGAGATTCTCATGCTGGCATTCTACTGGATGAGGAAGCACGCTATATTAGAGCAATTTTTTTTTTCTCAGAGAGGCCTGTCTTTTTGATGAAATGGCTCTCCTTGTTTTTAAAGTACGCAAGTAAAAACAAAAGTTTCAGGACAGGATTCAGCAAAAGATTTTCTTTGTAACTTACCCTTTTGTGAAGCATGTGGATCTCCGGCAGGTGGGTTTAACAATGTCTAACAAAAAAGCGTAGCGCAATAAGGTCTTTGGTGGTAAGAAATATTGACTTATCTCTTCATTATCCTCTTCTAGGAAATCTTTTAGCATTTGAATAGAGGAATCATTGTCCTGACTATGCTTCCTTTCCATTTCTTCTGCTGTTTCAAGCTTAAAAAGAAAGGCCTCTTTTGGTAAGTTCTTGCTGCTGCAATCAGGACCAAAGCTCGGACTGAAATTCTTCTCTTTAGAGAGCAAGGAAGAACTAGCTTCATCGAGTTTGTCAGCAACTTTGTCTTTGATTAAGTCTTTTAGATCTTGATCTGGGAACCTTGTCAATATCTAAGTAGTAATAAATTGTGAGAAAAATTAAAGAACTGCATTTGATAGTGCAATAAACAACTCACCTGCAGAATCTGCAGTTCGAATTCCTTCAGAGATGTTCAGAACAAAGCAAGTAACTCTACTACTTGTATGAGGATTTCAAAAGATGTTGGCACCAAGATTTGCTGATGATTGCAATGATTACAAATTACGACCCTTAAAAAAGACATTTCCAAGACTACGAAAAAGGTAGCAAAATGCATTGCTTTCTAGCGTGCTAATGGCCTCCAAAAACTTCTCTGAACTGCTTTAAGCCATCTAAGCCAATGGCAAGCATTTCAGCCCTTAGAAGACTCAGCAAGGGGGAAAAAAAAAAAAAGACATATTAGAACTTTTGTGTTAACACCCCTTATCTCTCTATTCTTCCCCGCATCAGCGTACTGAAAATTTAGCCCTCAATCATCATAAAACAAAACAAATTCAACTAACAGAAATTACACTCACCTGACCAGGAGCTTGAAAGGAAAACGGCTTTGCGTGAAGCTTTGCAATTAGAAAATATCGCAGTCTAGAATTGGGAATGCCAAGCTGTAAGCAAAATCCACAAGCCTTTACTCCACATCATAAAAAGAACAGAGGTGATCTATATTGTCATAAAAGCTATATACCATTATTTACAGTAATAAAACTATGTCACACTAATATATCTTGCCATTTGGAAGATACTAAAATTAACTGGTAATACCTAAGCACTTGTACTGAACCCATGAACATAACTTCCATGCCTAAGTATCCTCAAGCAAACAAGCAAGCAAATATTTTTTCTTCTTGGTTTTGATTTTCTCTGTAAATGAACAGAAATGTAAACAAACATTTTATGTGAGGTAAGAAGAAAAATGACATTATCATCACAATTTCTTGGGACAGACACTATCTGTTTTCAATAAAGAAGCAAGAAGGTGTTTCATTGTCTTACTGAACATGGAACTATATAACATATCTAACAACGAAACAAACGTACCACAACTGGTTTTCAATCTACTCTTTATAAGCTTCTCTCAAACACGGATGGCACTCCATCAATTCCATCGAGCCTTACACAATCTGAACTCTCCCTTAATTCTTTTTTCAGTTGCTAGGGAAGCATGCAAACAGAGCCCCTCCTCCCACAAATGACACAGTCAAGTTTTCTGAACTGGGGAAAATCACAGGCATCAGCACTTCTGAAGTCACGAGGTTGCTGTTAGGAAAACCACCTTCCTGGTCATAGTGTAAATGTATGCTGATTTTAAAAATGTCAATGGTTGCAAAGCAATAAGGGACTGGGACCTCAACAGTAACAGCAGCAGTATATGTCAATATACTGAATGAGAAATCAGAAGCCATGCCAGATGGCTCTCTCATTCACAAGACTGTCCTCAGTACTGGGCATCGCTCTGTTTTCCAATACAGTAAATCATTTTCAAAGGTCTCTAGGCTCTATACAGTTCAAAGAGTTAAAATTATATTAGTACTCACACAGGTTGGAGACAAGAGAAATTCTTGATATTTAAATCCACATGTTTCTAGTATTTGCAGAAGTTCATTTCTGGTAGTGAGAAAATTCAAAAAGCAATTACTCCTCTCATAAGCACTCATATACTCTTTAGGCCCTTTTTCATCCTAAATAAAAACACATGAAATGCAATACCTTAAATACTAAGACATTCATCAGATTCACTGAAAGAATCAGACAGAGATTTACAGATATGAAGTAATTCATTTCTGCGCTTGAGGAGACAACATATGAAGTTTGGGGTTACTGTAGCCAAGAATGACTAACACACGTTTGCAGGTATCCCACAACTACTCTGGAGGAAACGCTCCTTCAAAAAATAACCCATCTCTGGAAGAGTACTTGCAGTGTGTCAGCAAGGAAAATAACCAGAGGGCAAGACATTCTCTTTATTGTGAACTATAAAATAGGAGATTAAAACTGCCACAGCTAGCTAACTACTTCCCTCTGTTCAGGTACACGGCATCAGCTAAGCCTAATAAAAGCCATAATTCAAAGTGTAACACAAATTGGTGGCTCTGGTAATAAAAGTGAGGCAGGACTGTACTCTTAAAAACATGGGGAAATCCACTGAACTGAAAGCCTGCCCAGTAAGACTTGTCTTTACTATTCTATCCAGGCTGTAGCAAGCTAAAACGATATAAAAATTAAGAGCTGTGACCTGCACCTGGCTCTGCCAGGTGTCATAAGGGAAAGGAAGAATTTTGTCCAGTGTGTTTTCTGAGCTACAAGTTGTTTCAAATGCTGGCTATTAAAGCAAATCGCAGGGAATCTTAGGGACTACAGCAGTAGTTTGAACCTCCAGTATGTGTTCACAGAGGATTTCTGCAGGCTTTAACCAGCCAGAGAGCTGGACATGCCCTTCCAGCTGCCTGTCATATTCATTAAGGAGTGCAATGACATGCAGGCTGGCCTGTCTCTTGGTACTTTAAGGAATGCTAGGAAGAGATCCTACTCTATTCCTCCAAGCAGTGAGAAAGACAACTACAATTCCCTGTCTCCTGCTTTGCCTGCAAGTAAGGAGAATGCTCCTGCTGTCATTAGGTAACCTTATCGCCAACTTTCCTCTTCTGCATTTCAAACAAAGTTATATACCATTTTCGTATCATCTCTCCAGAGCATTTGATGTCAACACTGAACCAGCTATGATCTAGTATCAACAAAGGTACTGAACAAAGCCAATACACTCTACTGTGATTTTGAACACAAAATACCATGAGTTCCTGTCATGTATAAAAAACCCAAATCCTGAGTGCTACACATATTATTATTTTCTTTAAAAATGAATACTCTCCCTTTCTAAAGCACATAAGATCATGGACGATGAACAACAGAATTAACTTGTTCAAGTTATAACATATTTGATCTTAGCTGCTTAGAGAAATAATCTTTCAGCAAGTTCCTTTCAAATCCTAAGATTTTCACTCCTAAATTTAAAAAATTACTTTTAGCCAGGGCTGCTAACTGTCCCTTCTCACCCCATACTTTCTTAACTTAAATTCTAGAAAATAAAAATCCTGCTTTCACCTCCTAAAGAAAACGTCCTTTCTTAAAAACTAAAACATGCCTAAGTTAGAGTTTACCTTGCAGAAGAGGATTCAAAACCTTTAACGTTTTCTAAGAGTATGTATTTCGGAAGCTTCTGGAGCCTACAAGAAGAAAAACAGACCAGAGGAGCAGGGTGTAAACTACCTTATATATTACCAGACCGATTTGTTTAGCTGTAAGAAAGATGAAAATATTTCCTTGACACGTTAGTTGTTAAAGTTAAGCCTCCTCAACAAACGTACCTCAACTTTCAAGGTTGCCAAGATCAAGTAATGCCCAACTGAATCAGAAATGTGGACTGTAATTAAAAAAAAACCAAAACTGCTTTTGTTCACTTAATGCCCCACCTCTACCACATGCATGTATTTTTGAAAATGTTTACCACGGTTCATTTCCTAAAGCATAATATTATTATTCAAAAGACTGAGTTTGTAATAGGTAAGATAATTGTCAGGGGGAAAAATATCATCATTCATCCATGGAACAGGAAACCTGTTTTTTTTTTTAAAGCACATAAACCTGAAATCAATGTCAAAATGTGATATCAACTTTAGTAATGCAGTATCAGTATTCTTTTAATTGCTTTGTTTTAAGGTGTACTACATTTTCAGAGCTCAAACTGCACATATTCTCAATTTTATACAATTAACTTTTTCATTTTGAAGAGGGAGGGGAAGGAGGCTCATGAGGTTTAGCAGCATCAGTGCAGAAGTCTGGAAATAGGCTCTTTCCAGAAACGGCATATTAAATCTCTGGAGAAAAAAACATGCCAAAACTGTGCCAGGGACCGTTCCTACGATTTAAAAGCACAGATGATTCAGTTTCAAGTTTTTAGGAACATTCCTTCACTGATTAATATTCTATTAAGGCTAACATAGACAGGGTCTGTGTGCCACACACGGGTTCTCAACACAGCATACGGGAACAGAACACTAATGCTGCCAGAAAGAGGCATTACTGACTTTACTTAAGTCAGTAAGTGACTTCAGACTTGCACTGATGTAAATCACAGCAGAATGTATTTTATGACATTCTTAATTTCCATCAGTTTAAGAAATTCGCAAGAAGAACCAAAGCATCTAACAAGAAACTAGGAAATGCACAAGATACAAAGTAAAATGTAAAAACACAAAAAAATAATAGTAACTGGAAAAGAAAGAAGCAGCCAGATTCCCTGTAGAAGAATGGAGAATACATCTGCTGGTATGTTTACCCTTAATCAAGATCACCATCACCTGCTGGGAGGCTTATTTCTGAAGTAACAACTTTAGAGCACAGGCTGAAATGCAAGAGCTGGGACAAGACCAACAAGTGACAAGGCAAATAACCACTGCACAAAGAGGATGCATTACGTACATGGCAGGTTTTAATATTATGTCTGGAAAACTGGAAAACTGGAGTTTTAGCATTATTTTTCACTGGGTTATGGCGTGGGCACAATAAACAGTATCCAGACCATTTGGGTCAGACTTTATATTCACTGGCTGGATGCATCAAAGGACTTCCCAAGCATTCCCAGGCCCTGAACTTGTCCTTTCCATGCCTTTAATGTTAGCCTTCCCAGGCTATCTTTGAGCCTCATTTAAGCTATATTTCATTATAAAAGGCTGAACATAAGGTAGGAACACCCAAGCGACAGGAAATTATTTTATAGTTTCCACAAATTGTACACATGCCATTCTAATTTAGAACGTGAAGTGATAATTTCTATATTCAGAATTTCCCTTTTTTGGTCTGAAATTCTCCATAGTCAACGTCTGGCAAAGACGTCATTTCCAAAACATACACAAACACTATCTCAGTAAAACATAAATCCATTGGAACTGAGAAACTGCATAAACCACCATCTTGAACATATTACAGACTGCTTACAGAAACAGTTTCTTCACAGAACGACCTGCCCAAGGGAGATAAGGGATGTCAGGGGTGCCTCATGGGGTGCTGAGATAAAGCGTCACAGACAAGCCTGGCTCCTTTGCATCGTCATGATGAAGAACGTGCCCTGGAGCGTCTAAAGCTTTGGTTTTGAGAAGGGAAAAGCTTCAGCCTTTTATCCAGCTAAGCCCACAGCAACCAGGAAGCAGCATTTCCACCTTACTGCACAACAGCGTCCCCTCTTAACTGTGCCTCAGCTTAATGGAGAGGAATACTGAGGTCAGGATTCCCTTAAGGATAAGGAAGAAGCTAATATTCTGACAAATGATTAACTTACAGACATTCTGCTGGTTTTAATTTAATTTAACATTCTGAAAGGTCAGTGAGAAGGTTCCTTGCTCAAACAAAAATATTCTTTGCAACTTCTGGAAGGCTACCTACCTCCCTATTTTCCTGTCTCTAATGAAAAATGAGGAGTAATAAAAATCTTTCTTTATATCTATTATTTGTCTAATTCACTGGGCTACAGAATCTAGTCAAATGGATTTCTTGTGCTCTCTGCCAGATTTCTTGGGTCATCTCAGCCAAATCATTCGTGTCTATAGTCTCCATCTCTTAATGACAAGGGAAAGGAGGTCATCCCACTAATGCTGCTGGCTGCATCAAAGCTGTTTCTAGAAGGAGGATGAAGACCCTCTTCTCCCTGTGGTAACAGCAGATTGAGAGAAAGTCTGTCGATGGTACTGGTTTCTTTCTATGCAGAAAGAATTTGTAGGGGAAAAAAAAATGAGGCAGCAAGACTTCTCTTCCTCCTCCTCCAGTTCTGAGAGTAAGATTAACTGACAAAGGAATATATTGATAGCAGCTGCTCCGGTCTCCAGCATAAGCAGGACTGCCAGAATGGAAACGTCTGGTGGACTGTAACTGATGGAAATTCCCAGGCTGATGCCAGCTGGTGCCCAACAGGCATCTCAATCCAGGAGCAGAGATTTCTGCAAGATAATCTCAATGAGCAACTGCTTGCTCCACTCCCCTAGAAAGGGTGCTTACAGTGCTGTGTATCTCTTCCCAAAAGAGACTGCAAGCATTACTTGGAGCTGATTTTTAATATTCTCAGTAACAACCACTTAGGTCAGCAACGAACATTTTGTTTGGATTTACTGTTTCAAAAATAAATAATACCAATAATCAGGGCTACTTTATTACGAACTGGGATTTCCAGTAGACAAAAATGGCAGACAAACACAAAAAGAGGAGCACTGCTCAGACAGTTCAGTGCTAGTGAAATTTTTAGTATTACTACTCAGGGGATCGTACTACAAACAAAAAATACACAATCTGCCCCAAGATATCTAGAAGCAGCACCAAAAAGACAAGACTAGAGACTCTGAGAAAGAAGGGAAGCGGAAGGAAGATGTATTGCATTTTGGAGCCAATAACAGATTTAATCAAATTCTTTCAAACGTTACCTAATCAAAAGATGACTTAATGGTGAATCAAGGCATTTTACCTGATATGTCTAACTATTTTCATGCTTCCATGATGCTCATTAGCAGAATGTTATATTACCTACTCCTGCTTCTAAACAAAGTCAGTGGAAGTTTTACGTTGAACTGAATATAACTGAAAATAAACAATATCCAACCTTTTTCTTTTGGCCACAGTTTAAATAGATACACAACAAAAAAGAAAACCACACAGGGAAGACACATACAATAACTACGAGAAGATAATGGTGTTAGTAAAAGACAAGTATTTAACAGTTACATAGGATCATGTGGAAATAAACGATTAACACCATATTACTAGTAGAGAAGTTAATTTATACCTCGGGAGAATATCAAGGATATACAGAAAACTCTTTGTCCGTGGATCAGATACATCACCTTGCAGACCAATTCTGAGAAAGAATAAAGAAACACCTGTGTATTACTTGAAGCAGACCGTCATCTGACTTCCGTTTTTCTACGAAATGCTGATGCTTTTCACTATGAGTTTTGAAAGGGATTCTGCATAGGCATCGTGTTCAGACAGGAGGATCTGCTCACAGAAGCAGTGTCCTTAGAAGCGCTCTAAGGAATGAAAGCCTGCCCTGAAATCCATCAGCTCAAAATGAGGTTAGAATTGACAGCATTCAGTAATGAAACTCACTTCCCAGGCTGCAAAGCATTCAATATTCTGGTCTCATCCCACAAAATCCTTCACGGTTCTGAACTCACAAGAAAACTCACTGAATTCTCAGGTAATACCCAGCTATTTCACACTGAATATATTCAATAGTTTCGATGAACTAAAGCCTTACTGCTCAAATTGTGCAGCATTGAGCCCTATGTGATCAATTTCATAACACTAAGCTGGGCAGCTCATGTGGCTTAGCTACTTCAGACATGTGTTCCTCTAACTTGTATTTGTATCAGCTCTTAAAAAGAATAAAGCCTTGGTAGAAGAGTTTTGGCATGTCTGTAAATTAATTACTCAAGCACAGTTTTCTTCTCACCATATTATAAAAGAAAAAAAATTGAAGGAAGGACTCCTATATACATCGTATGTTCACACAAATACATTTTTAAAGACCAGCATCATTTTCAAGGGATCTCTTTATGATCTTACAGTATTCCTTTGAGTTACACTTTTTTACACACGCAGTTCCATCCGCATCTACAGAATTTTACATGGCCGCTACTCTGCATGAAGACAGTTAACAGAATCCTTCCCGCACTGATCTGTTAGGGATCATTGCTGTCAAAACATATGACTTTAAAACTAATCTGGGAAATAAGATCCCACTAAGTTCAGTTCTTAATCAGCAAAGATGTCTCTCTCTATTATCCACAAAATTATTTCAAAATCACGATATATATACAATTTAGAAAGCACAACCTATGTGTATCTCCAGATTCTGATCCTCTTAATCTAGGCTAAAATAGGACTATTCTGCAGAATTAACTATTTGTATGCACGTGCAGTTTTCAATGTACAAAGAAGAAGAGATTCCATTCTTAATCACATACAAAACTGAGGAATTCCAATTCTCCTTCTGGAGCTACCCCAGTGAAAGATCAGACTGATAATTAAAGGGAAGGAAAGCAGCCATAAAGGGCAAAATCTTTTAATTTCACTGGTAGACAAGCAATACTAACTAGATACACAAAATACACAAATACAAATTAGAGGCTATAGTAAGCTTAATTCATTTTAATGGACTTAAAATATGCATTAAAAAAGTGATCTGTAATTAAAATTCAAATTGTTGCATTTCTTCCACTTCAGTAAACCTCATGGTCAATAGGGCCACAACATTGTTACTTGAAAAGACAAAGATACAGAGATGAACCACATAGTATCACCCTTGAAAACATTTCCACTCTTAACAGTATATGTTGTACCAACTGCACTTTTTTCCATATGTGCTATACCTACCTTGTAAACGGCTGACAGGGAGGACTCATCAAAATCATATCAAAAGATAATCTGTCAAATTCTTTCAGGGTTATGCCCTGAATAAGAGGGGGAAAAAAAAAAAAAAAGGAAATTTAAGGGTTGTAAACTGTTGGGGGTTGTACACTTCTCATTCTTCCTTCAGACGAAACCATCCCACTACTTCCACTATATGCTTCACCGAGTAACAAACTCCCTGATCTCCCATTTGACCTAATAACTTCATTCTTCTCTAACGCCTGGCAAACCACAGAATGCAAATACGCATTAACTGCCTTGACAATGATTCAAAATCACTGATCATTTCAGTATCCATACACAATCATGTTTGTCTTTTAATCTCATCGCTATTTCAGAAGAGAGGTGGTAGTGTGTGGTTCTTTCAATAGATTACATCAAAATAGCAACAAGTGATCTCTCCCCATCCATCTGCCAAATAAAGCATCATTGTTCAGGCGTTAAGTCTTTATACCTCAAAAATTATTACAATATCAAGAACAGCGGAAAAAATATTAGATCTTCTCTTCACATCTGAACATAAAAATGGCTCAAGTGTTAACCTGATCTGAAAAAAGCATGATAAATTGTTATATAGGTCCCAATTGCGTGTCTTTGACCAAAGACTGCATAAAAGAGCTTTGCTGAGGAGATCTTCATGAAAACTAAGGACAATTCCTCACCTAGACTATGTAAACGCAGATAAGCCCTGAAATTTTAACTCTTAGGAGTTCACTACCAATGTTCCATGAAAAGTCTGTGTAGTCATTAGAGTAAAAATCCCACAAAGCAAGGCAAAAGCATTTCTGTTCAGAAAAGAAAGAATAAGGTCTGTGGTACAAATTAATTACAGGGATAAAAGTTCCTCTATATTAAAGTTTAAGCAACATCAGAAGGTCAACATATTAAGCGGCCAGTAGGAGAGGAGAAAGCTAATAATCAAGTAACTACAAGCTAGACAAAGAAATCACTGCTTTGCATATTTAATATTTTTGCTGTGTCTATATAGCAAAATGTAACATAATTGTCCACAAAAGGGAGACAAAAGCTGCTTATTTTTTCAATACATTTAAAGGTCTTACGGAGTGCAATCTGCTCTTATCTACTATAATGACATACAGCTGATTGTTCCTTTTCTTTTCCCATATAAAGCTGTAAGCTATCATTAGTTAGTCTGTTATTACTGAGTGACGAATAAGCAGCTAAAGCAGCTAACCTTTAGCCATCTACTTAATTCTTACTTAAGCTGGTGTCTTAAAACAAATTCAGTATCTTTTACTGTCATGTTGTAAAACTGTAAAAGGAGATTATAAAGTGTGCAGTAATTTCTAACTACACCAAGGAAAACCACATCTAATTGGTTATTAAAATAATGGCCAATTTCACCACGTTCTTTTTCACATAATTTGGAAAAGGGACAGAATTACTAAAACATTTGATCTTTCAAGTCCTCAAAAAATGCAAGGTTGTCCCGTCCAGTGTATTTTCCTGTGCTTTACTGAGCTCAACTGTAATTGCAGAAGGAAGGCATGCCTCCTACTGATTTAATTAAATTCTTTTAAAATACATGAAAATATTTTTTAAATCTAAAAATGTGATTTTTGTCATTCCTTTAGAGCTGGTAAGCATTCTTCCTGACATTCACATAACCTTTTTGATGCAGTAATCAAGACTTTCAGGAGAAGATCCCAGTGTGAGTATCCCTCTACCTGAACAAGCAGCCATAGACCAGGAAATTACAGTAACTGTAAGGCTGCTATCTTCCTAATGCCACAGATCAAGTATTTTGTTTCTCCTTGTTACTAACGTGGTAAGTAGCTGAAGAGACAACTTACTTCTAGAGATGCCAGACTAGAGTAGAAAAGATATTCATTACCCACCTCAATTGTTTTTGCCCATAGTGGTGTGCTGGGAAAGTTGTGTTTATAAACTTCATTGGCAAGAGTGTTCACATCAACGGCAGCAACAACTTCTGCAGGCATGCAGCTATCTAAAATTAAAAGAGGAATTGAAAAACGTAGCTCTGCTTTACCACTCTAGCAAAATGAGTTCTTTCGGCTACATTACAGCTTTATTCAAAAATAAAACAGAAATTACAGGATGAAACTCTGCTGTGCTGCCTTCAACGCTCTGTATGGAATATATCACACAGTACTAAGTGTATGGTCAATACTTCCCTTCCTCATATATCCAAAAAGGAAAGCTAACTGTGCATGTCTTAATCGGTAGCTTCTGCCACACATGAACTCTGAACAGGGCGTACTTCCACAGTATTCCCACCTGCACGCAGCTGGGCTCTGCCGCTAAAGGAATGTGGCCTGAGTCAGCCTGCCAAGGCCAGCAGCAACTGACGGAGATTCTCAAGCCACTCATGAAAACTCATTCCACAGACACTAAATGTGTTATTTTGGAAGCACACTACTTCTCACCGTGAGAAAACGGCACCAACAAATTTGGGTTCCGGGTATGCATGCTGTTGCACTAAAACTTTCAGAAATTATCTGAAAAAAGTTTGTGCTTATATTCCAATGAAACTTGGGCCCTGAACCTAAACACTGCTTCCTTTGGGTTCAGGGTCTCAGAACTACTAAACACTCTGAAGGACAACATCTGGCAGCTCCTGTCTTTTGACACCAAAGGAAGTATTTCTGATTTCTGCGGTGAACTAATGAACAAGAGTAACAAACCTACTAACAACTAAAATCCTGACAGAAAAAAAAAACTAAAAAGAATGCAAGCAAGCGATAACTAGTTTATACAGTAACAGAAAAATAGACACTACAGAAACATAAAACATAAAAATAATGTCGTTTAATTTACTGCTCATGACATACTATTTATTATTACTAACCACAGTACTTTAACTGAGGCTTTAAGTCTGTGGTCACTGCTACAACCACAGGCAGAAAACAGTGAACATGCTTCCTATGCTAGACAAGGCCAACTTCAACCAACAGGACGTCTACATTACCATTACCAATAAAAAGACCCAGTTTAAATACAAGCAGTTTTTCTAAGCCGAAGCAAACAAGGCAAATGGCCATATGCCTTTGAGTAGTCTCAATGCATGTTCAAGTGACACATTAACAAAGGACCTTAATAGACATCTTACCAATTACTGCTAGTCAACTAATCATTTACAGTTTGAGAGGATGAAATACCAAGTACAATGTCCCCAAAAGATTTAACTTTGAGTGATGTAGTTATCAAGTGTTTACCATTTTGACCGTTCAGGTTTTCAAACCTATCTTGTTCAGAACAAAGATGAAAGAGAAATTTGAGTATCTGAAAGACTGTAACAGATATTTTAGCAAAGATCAACCTAGTTCTCCTGTGTTTACTTCGTGCAATAAAGGGCAAAAAGCATATTAAGTTCCACAAGAAAAAAATTTACAGATGACCATCAATTAAAGGTCTACATAAATACCATTATTTGTAGTTACTGTCTTGGCATTTTGACCGTAAGCTTTAAATGAAGTTTTAAATACAGCTGTATCCATAACGACAACACAATGACGACACCTGAGATTACAGAACAGGTACGTTAACACTGACATCTAGTGTGAAAAGAACGTCATCTTAGCAGGTTGACTATCTAAATTTACAAGCATTATCAAGAACCCACACTTTCCTTTCATCTTCCTAAAACAAACGTGTAACACTTACACAATGAAAGCAAATTTCAAGTACTGTTTAAGAGACTGCCTTTTTAATTTATCCTTTCAGTTTTTAGGACATGCACCTCTGACAGGTAGACGCCTACTGTGTGTTCCAGGCACTCTAAAAAAGATTAAAAAAATCAAGAATCTCATGCATCATCTAAAGTAACATACAATTTAAAAATTACAATTGGAAAGGCAGACACTGCACTTTCCCTCACAATTCAGGATTCAGAGGTTCATCCATCCTACTGCTATCACTCCAATCTCTTCCTCCACATATACAAGAAAAAAAGAAAGATCAGGGATTTGCATGAGGGGACTTTCATAGACCCAAATGCCTGGAAATACTGAAAGAGAGCACATAAACTAGTAATTTATTGAAATCCTTTGCAATACAATTTTCAACCTAAACAAGAGATGTTAACGTGCACAGAAAAGAGACAATAACTTCCCGAACTCTTCAATCCAACATCCTCTCGTCCTAATTCACAGATCCGCTATTTTTTCCAAAGCTTCTCCTCCTTTTGAGATCACAACTGTGCGTCACTTGGGAGCTCCTGTTACAGAACAGACTCCTTCTAAAAGTTGACCGAGCATATTTTTGGTAGAAATACCACAGAACCACAGAATGACTGAGGTTGGAAGGGACCTCTGGAGATCATCTAGTCCAACCCCCCTGCTCAAGCAGGGTCCTCTAGAGCACATTACCCATGAATGTGTCCAGACGGGTTTTGAATATCTCCAGGGAAGGAGATTCCACTGTCTCTCTGGGCAACCTGGTCCAGTGCTCAGTCACCCGCACAGTCAAGAAGTTTTTCCTCAGGTTCAGATGGAACTTCCTATGTTTCAGTTTCTGCCTGTTGCCTCTCATCCTATCGCTGGGCACCACTGAGTCTGGCCCCATCCCCCTTGACACTTTCCCTTCAGAAACTTATACACATTGATTAGATTCCCTTTCAGTCTTCTCTTCTCCCTGGAAAAGCATGAGGGAGCTGCAGCAGACAAGCAGCTCTGGCCCACCAAACCTAACAAATAAAAGCTCGTGTAAATTTCAAACACTCTGAAAACCAAAAATATTTCAAGACGCTTCTCTTGACATTTAAATAGTTTTGACGTTAACTATGTTACTCAACCTTGCTAGGGCAATTGCATTTCTTCATTATTTAAAAATAATTTTAAGCATATACCATAAACAAGACTGAAAGTAGAATCTACAAACACAGAATCAAGACTATCTTTAACTTTCCCCCTAAAATTGGCATAAGCACAACTTAGAAATTTGTAAATGCCCCCAAAACTGCTGACTTAGCAAAATGCACTCCCTCCAAAAACTTATTAAAACTTTAATAAAGAAACAAACATGGCTCTGGAGATATTCTGCAAATGAGTAAGTCTAATTTTCAAAACACGGCACTTTAAGAGAACCACAACTACAAACAAAACAGTTTAATTTTAGGCAGACTAAAGAAAACATGCACATTTCTCTAGTGAAACTGATTAGCTGCTGGAATATTTGATTTGAACCAAGACAACATATTTCTAAAAGACATGCTGCTGCTTAGAAGGAAGTTATAAACACGATGGGGAAGTTACTGAGGGAGGTGTGACAGCCTATTTTAAGGCAGACTAAATCATAATGCTCTCTCTTGGCTGACATCAGGTGAATTCAAATGCGTACCATCAGAAAGGTACTGATTTTGCACTTGAGTCTTAAAAACTCTAGGATCCACATGGCAGAAACTCTGGAACTGTTAATTACATTACATAAAGAGGCAGCAATCAAACCTTGGGCCTTAATTCTCTATTCTGTTGTATGTACAATGTCTGCAAGCCATTTCAGGCATGCAGTATTTACTTGAATGAAAGGGGCACTACTCTATAATGATCTGAAGGTGCAACATTCGCAACAAAAAGAAGATAGGATGCATGTGTTAGCTTCCACTTTCAAAAAAGCAAACCCGAAGGGTATCATTTTGAAATCTTGAAAATAAAATTTCTGACACGAGTATATTCGGCCTTTTCCACTTCAGAAGCATTGATTCCCTTGTCATGTGTTTCTACCAGACCTTAAAATTAACATAGATCTGTTTATATTCATCACTGTACTTTTGTACCAGAATCGTCAATGTCAACACAGCACATGAAATAAACTGCATTGAAACAAGGGCACAGCTTGGCAGATCTCAGTGTATCGGGAAATCACAGCCAAAACAATTATCTGTTTTAACAGGTACATGGAAACAGATGGAAAAGGGAAGATAAGTCACATATTGTGCCAGTTCTGTTCCTTTTAAAATAGGCAGCAAAGATTTCATCTGAGTTGTCAGCTCTTGGCTGCAGTGATTAGGCTGTCCATGACTACAGTCAACACTATTATCAGTGAACTTGATACTTGCTTCCTGCAGGACAGTTAGCAACTTTTTTCCCTGCTCTAATTGTAACGGATTTGTGCATGTTCAGCAGCATAAACCATATAAAATTTATATTTTAAAGGGTACCATATAATAATGAATTTAGCTGTAAAAACTTACTCAAATAAGCAATACTTCAATTTCGCATTGTGCTGAACTTTATACCTGCTTGCCAGCTTTGCCTCCTATTGCATACAGCTATGTTTGTTAGTACACACATCAGTTTATTATGATGCACAATTCAATGAGATGATCAAATAAAATGAATAACAATGATCAGAGAAGACAGGCTACAAAAGATTCAAATTCTCACTCTTTAAAATTTAAATGTAACAGTTACAGAGGAAAACTATCACCAAGTTTATCACCGCAAAATCACAATATTTTTAAAAAGCTGTCTGTTCATATTTCATGCACAAAGGGGTTTGAGTGTCTCTTTTGGGGCGGGGGGAGAGGAGGGGAAGCAGGGAATGTTTTGGTTTTGCAACCTGGCAGACTGTAAACGCTTGTGGTAGAGACCTGGAATCCATTCTTCATGGGAAAACTGCCTAAATTAATAGGCCATGTTAAGTTTGTTTTGGTTGGGTACGAGGAAGAGCAGGCTGTTTATTTGATGGAAAGTTGCTATGGAAATGAACTTGAAGTCATAGATTTTCTTTAAACAAAATTGCATTTTTCAATGCAGATGCTCTGCACTTCATATAGAGGCAAACCTTACGTAATCTTGCAGATTTAGACATATATGATCTAAACATCTATCCTTATAAATCTTCCAGTATTTGGAGTGCAGAGCGGGAAGAAGGAAAGAGACACACTCCTACCTCTTAGCTGCCTCGGTCCTTCAAGCATGTGAATACAGACAGACTCACTGACCTGACAGAAATATTCACCTGCTTATATTCAGAAATATGCATACACACAAATAAAGTCAGCCCTAAACATGGAATATAGAGAAAAAGAAAAAACTACAAATCTAAAAGTTGAAACTTCTGCATCTTAATCTCAGGTTTGTCAAGATTCCTCTTCTGAAGTTAATCAAGCTAAGCTTTCTCCATTAAATTTTGTTACGTGTTTTTGTTGTTAAACTTAATATATCATTAAAAAGTAGCCAAAGTCTAAAACTAGAAATTCTGCACACGCTGGATTAGCTACAGGTAATCAGCACAGAGCTAGACAATCCCCTAGAGTTTTTTTGAGTTTTGGACTAATATCTAAATTGTATACATTATATATATAATTTAATCTTTTCATTGTCAAAAAGAACCTCATTCAACAATGCATGAATACCCTCCTCATAGCACGAACAGAGAAAGGCTGGGATATAAGCCTCTGAATTTTCTGTAATTCAGTTACTTCTCAGCATAGACTTAAGTCTAAATCCTAATCTTGTAAGATTACAATCTCAGAAACAATTGTATACTCCTTGTTGACAAATCCATTCTACTTTAATGACAACTTTCAAAACCAGAAACTTCCTCATCCTGCAAATTCAAATATACGCAATCCTGAAACTAATTTTATGAACGCTCACAGCCAAAAAAACACCAAGGCAGATAAGGCAGCATCGGATTTCCTGGAAAATGCCTACAGCCAACTGAAAACACCGACAAATTCACAGAAAAATATGAAGTTGGATCAGCTCTGCTAAGCATAACTTGGGTGTTAATGTGGACGGCAACAAGCACTGACGTTTAGCTTGCCAGAACTGTAGAATCCCTTTCGTAAAACAAATATATTTCCTGGAAAGCTGCCATTGAAGTATATTATACTCTCTTTTCTAAATTTTTATATTTTACATTTATTAGAAACTACACTAAGAGAATGAAGCACAACATATAACCTTCACCTCTTGTGCAACCGGCTTATGAAAGCACTGGTGAAATAGGGGAGTCTCTTTCGAACTTTAAATGCATATATAAAGCCTCTACAATATTTCTGTACTTAATTTAAATGGAAGATGCCAAACAATCGGCCATTTGCCAAAGGACATCCAAAAAATTGTATCACAGACATTTTCAAATAGCATGGTATCATGTATATACACAGGCCTAAAACATGTAAGAAACCCTATTATTATATACAAAAAACATTTACAAAGAAACATTTACTTTTCCCATTTGATTACCACAAGAAAGCAAACATTTAAAGCTCCCCTGCCTTTACTTTGTTTCTTTATAAACTTTTTAAGAAAACTGAATCCAGATGACTAAAGGACTTAAAAAGAGGAAACAACAGAAGGGATCAAAACACCTGACTGTATCAGTATTCCGGAATGCAATTCATCTCAAAACAGTGTTATACAATAACTTGCCATTAAATATTTAATTCAGTGCAAATAATATAGAACTCTCTTAATTCTAATTGCCTGGTTATTAGTTTTAACAACATTCAAAATAAGATTATCTTCTAGAAGTGTAAAATTTGCACTTTTTGGAGTCATGGAAATAGGGACACAATGCCTATTGGCTGAGTGTCGCATTTCTTGTCACACAGCTCCCAGAAAAATAAGCAGCCAGGTTCAAAATAAGTTAAACCAACTGTGGTGCACTGTTGTATCAATTTGATACACAAATTTAAATTGGCATATAAAACTTTAGTACTATCTAAGGTTATTCATGCAAATAAGAATGCAAGTCTCCTACACCTGCCTTGGCTGGTACCACTACAAAAGAATCTTAGCCTTACTATTAATATTTATTGCAATTTCTTCATTCAAATATAAGCCCAGAAGAACAGAAAGGTAAATCACATGCAATGACAGTGATATAACTGTTTGACAACTTCAGAAACAGAACGTTTTGGAAATAAATTTGCCCTTTCTGGGAAGTAATATGAGTGTTTCGGATAATCCTTCACCCTCCATACTGTACAAGATATAAAGGTGGTATATGCACCCAAGTATTCCTATGCACAGGAGCTACCTATTGCAGCATCATGCAATTAGTGTATCTTTCAGATACAAGTTTACAGTATTCTGATAATCTCCTAAAGCCACATTCAAAACATGCCTCAATCTTTTAAGAATTTTGCTATGCTCTGTTGTAAGCAATGTTCTTTTAGCGGGAGGTGGATAGCCACAGGATATCACACCTGACATTAAAATGCATTAATTACTGCAGAATATTCACAAGATGTCTATAATTATGTTAAGAACAGAGCCAGATAACATTTGGCAATGATCTGTTCCATACATACAAACACTAACACATGACAAATAGCTGCATGCAGGACCATGGTGTAGCCTGTTTCTGGAATCAGTCCACTTTCTATGGAAATCATGTATAACGTTGGTAATTCCCCATCACTTTAGCAGCAAGACTAGAAAAGAAACTAGATGAGAGAAGAAAACAAAACTAGCATATCGCCGTTACAGCTATATCCACTATATACAATATATAGCACCCTTTTCATTCCGTAAAGACTCCAAAATCTACAATTCTGTACAAAGATATATTTTACTCTTAACAGTCTAAGCATATCTCTGGAAATAAGGAAAACGCATTCCTAAAACAGGCGGTTAGGATTCTTTGCAATTACAATGTAGGTACGTATCTTGGTATGTTGTATATTTTTACTTATTTTGCATGTAATATATATAAACATATATGCATACATAAGCAAAAATATACAGCAGAAAAAATGCCATTCTGCAAACTGGGAGTATGCTTTAAATAAATGAATGAAATTAAACGGATCCTACTCTGCAAACATAATCTCTTACTAATATACAATTCATTGGAAAAATAATAAGATAAGATGAGTTTTGACTCGATGTTTTAGGAAAATGCTCTCTGTCATGCAGTAGAACAGAAGAACTGCCAAGGCTTATGAAGTCTGAAATATTTGAAGGGCTGTAGTTAAGATTAAAATTATTAAGCTAGTTCTCATAAATTACACAGATTTGTGCTGAAATCTGTATTACAACAATAACACAGTGTACTTTACCAAGCAGATCAATAGTGTGAATTCAATTTTTTATTTGGGGAAGCCAAGTCATGGAGAGTCCACAGGACTTGCTGAAGGTTACTCAGCCATATTTTACCAATTCAGTCAATTCAGCTCTGGCATTCCCAGGACCAGATCAAAAAAATCTAGCATGAACTCACTATACCAGTTCAAATTCCATGTTCAGTTTTCATTTTCAGGAAATGGTATAAACTGCTCTCACACTGCCAGGCTTGTGTTGGGTCATGTTTCACCTAACTTTGTGCCACCAAGTCTGCACGGCTACCTAGGAAAAACTCTGGCTAATCTGACTTAACATCACGTCATGCACCTGCATGATCCCCACCCCATTTGGACCTTGGGTAACTCAGGAGCACAATCCCGGCCTTGCAGGGAGCAGCCACGCAGCCCTCAGCAGGACCACGAATCCCCAATTCCTGCACCACCACGCTCCTGGGCACTTGGTGCTGCCCACAAGGCCACGCGTCCTTTTGGGATCCATGCAGTTTACACCTGCAGGCCACTAACACAAACATACCGCTGGCCAAAAAACAGCCCCCCGACGCCAGGCCCGGCCTGTGGAACCACCTGCCCCCGGCTCCTTTCAGCACCAACTCCACCACCATCTTCGTGCCCCTGACCTGCTTCCGTGGCTGGGGACGAGGGAAAGGAGGCTCCCTCCCAACCCAGAGCTTCTCCCCAGACGATGCTTGTGCAAGACGGGGAAGGGGCGGCATGCACGGGTGGACAGGGGGTGAGGGAGTGCAGAGGGGCCATCTTAGCCCGCCCTAGCGAGAAGATGGCGCCCTCCGCAGCCCTCAGGGGTCAGGGTCCTGTCGAGAAGATGGCGCCCCCAGCCCTCTGGGTCAGGTGTCGCTGGGCGCCCCAACCCAAAGGGCTGAGGCCGGGCTCCTGCAGCGGCAGCGAGCGCTGAGGCAGGCGCTGACGG